AGGTGGTATCCTCCCCAAAAGACTGATTAGTGATGATGGAGATCAGATTGAACGTGGGGATGACTATGTGAGAGTAAACATCTCTCCAGAGGCGTACGAGTCYCAAACGRAGTGGYTGATGGAACATAGTGTCAACATATTTTTCGGAGAAGAGTCGGATTCCTTCTCGGTAAGCCTAAAAAAGAAGATTATTAGGGCCTACGAAAACTCCCGGATTGGAAGYTCGATGTTAGGTCCGAATCYGAGACGCGGTCTGTTCGAGAATGAAGGCCGCAACCTGATCTCATACATAACGAGCACGAAGGAGGTTGCTGAGTACCTGTTGCTTAAGAGGGAGGACGGAATCGAATTGGATGGAGTATCGCATAGGCTGTCGATCAGACCGTGGATGACTGAATCGGAGTTACAATATTGGCGAGAGACTAACAAGTATGCCCTATTCTGGGTGAGATGCCTCAAGATCCCGATTGCTGTCATGCCAGTGATAGAAGAGGCAGTGGAGAAAGCCTTTGSGAGGTTAGTCAAAACCCACCCGTTCACGAAAAAAACAAAGGATTCACCGCCATCATTTTTCCGCCAAAAATTAGTCCTCCAACTATTGATTCATTTCATAGATGGGGCCAACAGCTATCCGCCAACGTTTTGCATGCATCAGGAGAGCCCTGGTGTCCATATTCATTTAGAAGCAGGCCCATGTTCGTTCGTACGTTTGCTCCGAAGCGGGTCTTTAGGCTCTATTCGGGGACACCCGTACCTGGCCATCGATTCCGCCGAGCCACGAAGAAACCGATAGATGGCTCCGTATCAAGCTGAGGGCGAGGGCGGTAACAGATGCTGCCAGGGCAGRTTTATTTTGTTTTGTGTGTCAGCACAGGGCTTTGTTGTCCCCCGAAAGTCCGTCCCGACGGGCCCAATATGCATCCCGTGAGATGTAGCTGTGCTTGCAGGCCCCCCTGAATAGGCTTACGAGTAGTGGTAGGTGGATAGTGAAAGGTGGAGTCCGAGAGGGGGGGGTAGGGAGGGGGGGCGCAAAAGTCCGTCGGGACATCTGTAAACATTGGAACGACAAGGATAACACGCATAAATGTATCAGAGGTCCGAGTTCGGGCTCGTTTTGATACGACGGGGAAGAAGTTGTGTATGGGCCTACTCACACTGGCGGCTTTTATCGCAAAATAGCTAAAAGTTGATGCTTGGGTTAGTCGCATGAGTTGGTTCATGCGGCGAGTTTTCAGTCAGGGATGTAAGAGGGGTCTAGTGACACAAGGGGTCTACTGACGACMTTCATAATAGTTGCAAGGGGAAAAAACAAACTGCTAATTTAAAATTCAAGTAAACAATAAACAAATGGTCTGACATGCAAAAAGCAAAGTTAAGGAAAACTGACCAATTCAAGAAGTCCTTGCAAAGTAAGACCTTCCAAAGAAACTGGAAAACATCCTGGGGTACCCCCCCATGCACCAAGGGCACGGGCGGATGGGCCCGGATTTTGGAGTGGTGAGTCGCGAACTGTAGATGAAGATCTCAACCGTTTGTCTTGCGTTGCAGGTATGTGACGCCCTAACCTCACGACCAGCGAGACTTCCTCATCGGAGTGGGATGTGGGCCTGGAAGTGCRAAAAGGGGTGTGCCAAGGATTTTTGGGACAGTGGGGGTGGAGTCCCAGGTCAGAACTGAGATCTCCTGTGGCAAAGTTTCAGGGGCATAGATGCAATCGGGCTAAGGGCGAGTTACTTCCGGTCCGTCGACGTTCTATGTCGTGCAGCATAAGGCAGATGGCATGCGCGGTGCATTCAAGGTCGTCCGATCCATCTGTTTTGGGGGCGGCGGTTCGCGGAGAGGCCTGCCCGGGGTGGCTGTGATTCCGATGAGTCGGGCCTTTGGGTGCAGCCACGTGGCATCTGTCGTCGCGTGTTTGGGTTAGGCCCCCTAGTTTCAGGGGCCCGTCGGTTGCCGCATTGCTGGCAATTTTCGCAAGGCATGCGGGGCCAGTACGGAGCGATGGAATTCCACTGGACTACCGTGAGTTGGTGATATGGGAGAAGGAGACGGAGGGGAGGAAAACGGGTAGTGATAACGACAAAACCATGGGATATGAATTAGTGCGTGTTGTCCGAAGTGGGAAAATCGGGGCACCTCGGATCGCTGGTTGTAGCTCAGTGGAACTCCCTGGGCCACAATCGATTCTCGGGTAGGCAGGGGAATCCCGGGTATCTTTGCCTAATACATTCGCTCACCCAAGGGTCGAAGTACTCCGAATCCCAAGAGCTCGACATCTTATCATTGCAGTGTGAATCCTCCCNCCCCCCATGCACCAAGGGCACGGGCGGATGGGCCCGGATTTTGGAGTGGTGAGTCGCGAACTGTAGATGAAGATCTCAACCGTTTGTCTTGCGTTGCAGGTATGTGACGCCCTAACCTCACGACCAGCGAGACTTCCTCATCGGAGTGGGATGTGGGCCTGGAAGTGCAAAAAGGGGTGTGCCAAGGATTTTTGGGACAGTGGGGGTGGAGTCCCAGGTCAGAACTGAGATCTCCTGTGGCAAAGTTTCAGGGGCATAGATGCAATCGGGCTAAGGGCGAGTTACTTCCGGTCCGTCGACGTTCTATGTCGTGCAGCATAAGGCAGATGGCATGCGCGGTGCATTCAAGGTCGTCCGATCCATCTGTTTTGGGGGCGGCGGTTCGCGGAGAGGCCTGCCCGGGGTGGCTGTGATTCCGATGAGTCGGGCCTTTGGGTGCAGCCACGTGGCATCTGTCGTCGCGTGTTTGGGTTAGGCCCCCTAGTTTCAGGGGCCCGTCGGTTGCCGCATTGCTGGCAATTTTCGCAAGGCATGCGGGGCCAGTACGGAGCGATGGAATTCCACTGGACTACCGTGAGTTGGTGATATGGGAGAAGGAGACGGAGGGGAGGAAAACGGGTAGTGATAACGACAAAACCATGGGATATGAATTAGTGCGTGTTGTCCGAAGTGGGAAAATCGGGGCACCTCGGATCGCTGGTTGTAGCTCAGTGGAACTCCCTGGGCCACAATCGATTCTCGGGTAGGCAGGGGAATCCCGGGTATCTTTGCCTAATACATTCGCTCACCCAAGGGTCGAAGTACTCCGAATCCCAAGAGCTCGACATCTTATCATTGCAGTGTGAATCCTCCCGCACGCGTCTAATCGGCAAGGGGATTTTCCGATGTGATATCAGAACTCCTTTCCGTTTAGGTGCTTAGGGGAAGGGCAATTCTCGTCTACCCGATATCGAAGGCGTCAAGTTCGTCGATGATCGCGAATCGGTGCGCGTGGGTATGTGTAGACTGCGCAGATCAAATCTGAGTGCGAAATCTCGGTGGAAGAGTGGGAACGAACGGACGCTCAGGCGAAGGACCCCGAGGCAGCGCACAAAAGAGAAGAGATTGCGGCCGGGAAGTGGCAACTGGAATTCGCAAGCGGAGCAAATCTACCGTCCGCCGGCGATCCTGCCAAAGATCTGGAGCCGCCCAAGCGCGAAGATGGGGACCCAACTGCCGAGACTTCGAGCACACCAGCCAGGCAGCGACGAAGCCGATCCTTCTCCCTCTCTACCTCCGACCGTCCACCAGTTCAAGCCTGTACCAATGCGGGCCATCGGGCTTCGTCCCCGGTCCTTATCCCGTCGTCCCCTTGATCACTTCACCTTCCGCCAGATCACCACCCGCGTCACCTTCCGCCGTAATCCTTTCCTGATTGATACCTTTCGATTTTTCTACGCCACCCTCCTTGTTGTCACTATTCACCCCCACCCCTCAACCCGGTGTGCCCTCCCCGACTTTTGTCTTCATGCCCTCCTCTTCAGTGCCGAGTGGCGAGGCCAGAATATCGTCGAGGTTTATTGCATGATCACGGGGACTATCCCCGCATGAGAGAACCACGATCGATTCAGTGCGACAGTCTTCCGAACCTTCGCCACCCTCTACCCTGACTATCTGCCTCCCTCCCTCATAGTGGTAATCGATTCCCTCGCTTCCACCGGATCGTCCGATATCAGAAGTTTCCGAAGACAGTCGCGGGATTGGAACACTCTCTACCACCACTTCCGACTAACCCTCCCCCTCGCCATGCCCCCATGTATTGTCTTCCCTTTCCCCTTCCGATAGGACATTGATGCACAGTTGATTAGTATCTGCCATGGCGAGACACAAAAGATCCCCTTCTTGGAGTGAAAAGAGCCCTTCCTGAGGAATTCGTAGAATAGAGCCACGTATACCACACTGGATGACATCCACACTCTTTTCGTACGGTAAGTGGCAATGAAAAGCTCCATATGACGATCGATTAGAAAACTCGACACGTGTCATGATTCAAGCAAGCAGGAGTCTGCTTAAGATTGGAACCCCCTGGACTTCACATATGTGACGAACCGATTTTTGTTCCGCACGACTTTCTGCGCAATGACAATGACTGGTCCTAAGTTGGGAAGGCTGGGCCAATTACGGGAGATCGGGATTGAGGGAAAACTGCATCAGTGTCCTCGCTTTTTCGTCTTTTCTCTTTCGTAGCTAGTTTTCCGATGGCTGGATTCGGGCCCGGGCAAGTCCCGGGATGATTGATTGAGTGGTTGTCGCGCCGACCAGGCGCGATTAATAAGGGTTCGCGCTGCTTCTTTTCTGTGCTGTTGTTGGACTTTAGGCGCAGAGACCGCGCAGGAGTTTTTGCTTCGTTCTTTTTTAATTTTCTGTTTTTGAATCTTGTGGAGCCCCAATGGCTCTCGGAACTTCGGACTTTCCTTTCGGAATTCGTGCTTTTCGCTTTTTTTGCATAAAATAGGAATTTTGGAATTTTGGAATTTAGTATTTATTTTTGTCGCGCAACGCTTTTTGCTTACGCGCTTCTTTTTGCGGCTGCAACGGAGCTCTGATTATTCAGCACCCTTAATCGTGTATGTAACTGTAATTTTGGGCGGGCGCCATTGTAACTTTATCTTTCTTCTTGAACTTCGCCTTTCCTGCTCTCCCTTTTCCTCCTTTTGCTGTGCCTAGTTAGCCCATGGCCTGCATGCTCGGATYGATGCGCGGAGAGTGGCTACGTTTTCCACGCYGCGATCTGGCCATGCAGAAGGCACGCGCTCCCTCTCCTAATCCCCTTTCTAAGTCCTTGCAATTYCGTGTTCTTCGCGCATGCATGCACGCTATAAATTCCGGCTGCGAGATTAGATAGCTCTCTTAACCAGTTGTTGGAAGCTTGGGAAGCGCGATCAGTGAGGGTCGGCTCGCGAGCGAAGTAAGAGGTGAGTTGAAGTGGGAGTCGGGCAACCCGACGAGCTGGTGCCAAACGCGCGGGGTTGACGCGGGCCACGACGGACTGTGGGCGCRGGCGAACCTGACGGGTGCAGGAGGACTAAGCGGGGTGATGACTTTGAGGGTTGGTGCGTGACAACGGACTGTCCGCATCGGAGAGAGAGAGAGAGGAAGAGGGAGTTGAGGTTGATGGACGTGGTTTGCAATTTTCTTTGTCTTGTCTCCCACCTTACTTCCGGATATAAATTTTGATCTCGGCTCAGGGCGATTCCTCCGCTTTCTTTTGTTTTCGAAATCTTGCCTTGGTTTCCGCCCACATTCGTTTTTGCCGTTGGTCTCGATCTCGTTTATCGTGTGTTTTGTCGAATGAATGGATGAATGAATGTCATGTTTATTGCTCTTCTCTTGCCTGACCCTTGTTTTTGCTTGTCATTTTTGATACACTCATGAGCATAGTAGGAACTTTTGCGTAGTCGTCAATACTGCTTGTATTGTTGTTTATCTCCTTTCCTGTGATCGTTGCCTCGATGCCTGATGTGTAGTCGCACCGTGCATGCTCATGAACGATTGTATACTTTATCACGAAGTGATTAGATGATTAGGTAGTTGTTTGTCCAGAAACAAGCGAATACCTCGGCAACTCTTCCTCTTCCTCGTTTTCCTCTTCTTCTTCTTCTTCCTCACTCTGCTCCCCCTCGCTGTGTTCACTATAACTGCCGTCTTCTGGTGTTTCTTCCTCCTCTTCTTCTTCTATCGCTAGCTCCTCGTCTTCGGAGGCTGTTCGATCTTGGAAGAAAGCGAGGTCGATTATCTCCCGCGGGTCCAGATATCCTCGTTGCGATGGCGGGTTGCGGCCGCTTCCCGGCTCCTCCTGACGGGCTGACCACTGAAGGTACGACTTCAGAGTTCGTGTGAGGACGTGCGGGACCGGGCTCTCGTCGCTCTGCGAGACGATATCAAGGGGAAGATTGTCAACCAACTGCGCGAGAGGAATCGTGAGTTCTTGCACGATCAGCTGACGATGGTCAGGCTGCACCGATCCGAACAGGAACCTAAGAAGATCGCCTTCCACCTCCATCCGCCAGGCCTGGATAATCAGTAGCTCTAGGTACCCGGCCCAAGCACGGTATTCCTCATCCCTTGTCCACGTGAGTCACACTCCGACCAGGTACACCGAAAGATCGTCGAAATGTTCACGCCACAACTCCCACTTCCTTGGATCGAGAAGGGGTACAACGAGCGGATCCAAACAGAAGGAGAAGCGAGGGTGAAGACTAGACTGCCAGAAGGTGGGAAAGAGACATGGGAGAGCGAAGGTGGAGAGTTGGGAGCAGTTCATTGGGGACGTTGAAAGTGGATGAGCTCCGAAAGCACCACCGCCGGCTCGTGATGGGACGCTAGAATCCCACTAAGTTCGATGTCGTCCGTAGGGAYAAGATTGTCCCCGGGTCGCGTGAGCCAGTGGTTCCACTCCGCGGCCAACTGCTGACCCCACTCTCTTAGTGACGTCCGGATCGCCGTATGCCGCAGCGGGCTGATCGTGTTGATATCGCCGCTGAAGGAGACGACGGTGGACACGTGGCTAATCCCTGGGGCTGACCGYCGATGGACAGCTACCGCTTCCGCCAACACAACTGCCTAATGATTACCCGCGAATCGGAACTCTGCTGCCACGTATACCCCTGTGGTACAGAAGAACTGCGCAAGCCGTAGAAGATCCAGACTGAAGCGCGGATGATGAACTTGTTGGATTGTCGAGATGTAACCACGTGGCGCTAGCAGATGATCGYCGAGAGCTCGCTCCGTGAGAAAACTCATGGCGATTGTGGCGGGGGCGGAGTATAGGAAAAGGCGAGAGATGCAGGGGAGGAAGACAGCRATGGAGAGTCGTCGTCTTCTTCYGTAGCGAAGGAGRAGGAGGAGGAGGAAGAGGATGCTGCTGGAGATGGGGAGGAAGGAAGAGTACGTAGATAGGACACGTGGCGTACGATCGGSTGAGCCGATTGGCTCCCTGAGACCTCTGGCACGAGGCGCACCGTGTTCACCCCGTTCGGGCCGAGCTCGATCACGCGAAATCGCCCGAAGAATCGTGGCGCTATCTTCCCTTGGCGAGCAAATTTCCTCACCTGCACCAAGTCCCCTAATTTATACTGGGGCCTCGCACACRCGTTCCCGTTCTGGGCCTCRTAACTGCGAACCTGTCAGTCGTGGGCCAGCTCGGTCATTTTYTGGCATTTTCGGGCTAATCTGGGCGGGGRCCTTTCCATYAGTTCCATGTGTCGCTTGGCCTTGTCCCGAATCGTGGCTCTCGTAGGCCGTCGGTTTAACGAAGACTCATCCCGGAGGCTCGGTATCGAAACGCAGGCCACACTGCTGGTCCGTAATTGGAACGGGCTTAGGCCCGTCGATTTGTGGGGCGTTCCGCGATGGACCGCCAAGATGTGATSTACGATATCGGGCCAGGGCCTTGGGTCCCTCGCCGCGATATTGCATCGTAGCGAAGTCTTTATCACTSTATTTGCATTTTCTACCAGCCCGTTAGATTGCGACATGTGGGGTGCAATGTTCCGAATYGCGACACCGTGTATAACCAGATTCCTCAAGACTTCTCCCCTGAACTGTACCCCATTATCGGTCAAAATTTCCTCCGTGTCCAGGTGCATCCCSAAAAACCGGTTGACGTAGTGCGCAATTTTGGTCRCCTGTCACGTTCGRCATGGATACGCCTCGATCCATTTTGAAAAATGATCCACGAACACYRGTAGGATTGAATATTCACAGCTATTGGGTCCARGGGGCACCACAATATCGGCAGTATCCATGCTAACCCTTTGAAATGGTCGTTCAACTACCGTCGGTACTATCGATCTTGGCGGCTGAATCAGCACCTTG